CGGGGCGCTCCCAGACATCCCATCTCCGCTCTCCACCACCGGCGGTCTGGCCCACCTGTGCTGCGCAATGGGGCAGCCTCCATCTGAATCTGCAGATTTTCAATCTTCCAGCGATAGAAATTGACTGGGTACTTGTAGCTGATCAGGATCACGGGTCTCAGCCCCATGAGGTGGCCCTTTCGGACCAGCTCCTCGTCATTCTGAGGATGAAAGGGCAGGCGTTAGTCTGGGGATCCACCTGTCTGAGCTGAGCAGGGACAGCCGGCCTTCCACCATGGGAGAATAAGGGAACAGGGCTGTGCTTGTTCCCAGCACTCCGGAGGTGGAGTCCGCAGGCTCTCCAGTTCAAGGCTAGGCCGGGGGTCGGGGGTACACGACGACACTTAGGGAGTCAGCCTGGGCTATAAAATGAGAGTGTCCCAGAAAATGAAAAATCTAGATGGCAGGTGTAGTACCGCTCACCTCTCACCCCCTCAGGAGGCTGAAGCAGGAGATCACCACAAGTGTGAGGTCAGCCTGGTCTCTAAGCGAGTCCTAGGTGAATAAGGACTGTGGATCTATTTCCATGGGTTTATATTCTCTGTCTCTGTCTGTCTGTCTCTCTCCCCAATACCCTCTTCTGGAATCTGTAAGCACCAGGCATGCATCTGATATACAGACACACATGCAGTCAAAACACCCATACACTAAAATAAAATTTTTAAAAAGCAAAAACTTTTGAATGGAGGGTAATGACTCATATCTGTAATTCCAACACTCAAATAACAGAAACAGAAGAATCAATACAAGCTCAAGGCCAGCCTGATCTAAGTAGTGAGTTCTAGGTCAGCCAGGGCTCCATAATAAGACCTTGTCTAAAAGACACAAAAACAACCTTTTAATCCCACGCCTTTAATCCCAGCACTGGGGAGGCAAGGGCAGGAGGATCTCTGAGTTTGAGGACAGTCTGATCTACAGAGAAAATTCCAGGACAGCCAGGGTTACACACAAAGAAACTAATCCTGTCTCGAGAACCTTAAAAACAAAACAGAACAACAACAGAAAACAAAACAAACAAAAAAGCTGGGCATGGTTGTACACACATAGACTGCCAGTACTTGGCAGAAGGAGGCAAGACAAAGATCCTGAGTTCAAGGACAGCCTGGGACACATAAGACTCTATTTCAGACAAACACAAAAATAAGCACATGTGACTTGTGTGACTGCCCAGCCCACGGCTCCTTATAGTATATTCAACCCACTTTTATTTCTAAAAGCAAATTAATGAATATTTTTGTGGTATTTTATGGTGAGTGAATTATATCTCAATACACTTAAAACTTTTTGTTAGTGTTTTGAGAAAGGACCTCCTGCACAGCCCAGGCTGGCCTCCTTAGTGCTGTAATTAGAGACGGGCACCACTACTTTTCACTTTCTCTTTTTAGATTTATTTATTTTACTTAATGTGCATAAATGTTTTGTCTGCATGCATGTATGTATCCCACATGCATGCCTGATGGATCCCTTAGAACTGGCGTTATGTATGGTTGTGAGCCAGTAAATGGGTCCTAGGAATCAAACTCTGGTCCTCTGCAAGAGTAACAAGTACTGAGCCAATGAACCATCTCTCCAGCCCTGTTTTCATTTTCTTTTCTTTTCTTTTTTTTGTTTAAGATTTATTTGCATATACACCTGCATGCTGGAAGACAGCATCAGATTCCATTATTGATGGCTGTGAGCCACCACGTGGTTGCTGGGAATTTAACTCAGGACCTCTAGAAGAGCAGCCAATGCTCTTAACCTCTGAGCCATCTCTCCAGCCCCTCTTTTTCTTTTCGTTCTTTTTTTTATTTTAAGATGTATTTATTTATTATGTATACAGTGTTCTGTCTGCATGTATCCTTGCAGGCCTGCAGGCCAAAAGAGGGCACTAGATCTCATTGTAGATGGTTGGGAGCCACCATGTGGTTGCTGGGAATTGAACTCAGGACCTCTGGAAGAGCAGCCAGTGCTCTTAACCTCTGAGCCATCTCTCCTGCCCCTGTTTTCATTTTCTTGATGATATCTTTTAAAACACAGGCGTTCTGGAACTGGTACGTAGCTCAGGTGTTAGAATGCTTCCCTAGTATACATGAGGCCCTAGGCTCTATTTGCAACAGCTAATGAAACCAAATACGGTGGAACACACTTGAAATTCTCATGGAATGATGGAGGCAAGACCAGCAAAAGTGCGAGGCTATCCTCTGCTACGCATCAAGTCAGCCAGCCTGGGCTTCATGGGACCCTGTCTTAAAAACACTAACAAGGGGGCCGGGCGGTGGTGGCGCACGCCTTTAATCCCAGCACTCGGGAGGCAGAGCCAGGCGGATCGCTGTGAGTTCGAGGCCAGCCTGGGCTACCAAGTGAGCTCCAGGAAAGGCGCAAAGCTACGCAGAGAAACCCTGTCTCGAAAAACCAAAAAAAAAAAAAACACTAACAAGGAGCCTGGTGGTGGCGGTGCATGCCTTTAATCCCAGCACTTAGGAGGCAGAGGCAGGCGGATCTCTGTGAGTTTGAGGCCAGGCTGGTATACAAAGTGAGTTACAGGAAAGGCGCAAAGCTACAAAGGGAAACCTTGTCTCAAAAAAACAGAAGTAAAAAAAAAACAAAACCCACTAACAAGGGTTGGAGAGATGGTTCAGCTGTTAAGAGCACTGGCTGCTCTTCCAGAGGTCCTGAGTTCAAAACCATTTATAGTGGGATTTTATGCCCTCTTCTGGCATAAAGTTATATATGCAGATAGAGCACTCACACATATTCTTAAAAAAAAAAACAAAAAAAAAAACCAGTAACAAAATGGAGTTCTAGCAATTGGGAAGCAGAAGCAGGTAGATTTCTATGACTTCAAGAGCAGACTTCAAGAGCAGCCTGGTCTACATAACAAGACCCTAGACCCTTTCTCCAAAGAGAGAATGAACTCACAGGATAGTACATACTGTTTTAAACGACCACCATCCCAAATATATATGTAATTTTTATAAGTCAACAACGAAAAGGCAAAAAAACCTTCATTTTAAAATGAGCAAAGTCCGGGCAGTTGTGGTGCACAACTTTAATCTCAGCACTCAGGAGGCAGAGGCAGGAGGATCTCTGAGTCCAAGGCCAGCTTGGTCTACAGAGCAAGTTGCAGAACAGTCAGGGCTACTCTGAAAAACCCTGTCTGGGGGAAAAAAAAGAACAAAGGAAGGCATGTGCCACCTCTGATCCTAGTACTTGGGAAGCAGAGGTAGACAGATCTCTGTGAATTCCAGGATAGCTAGGGCTATGTAAAAAGACACTGACTCAAACAAACAAATAAAAACCAAAATGGGCAAAGTCCAGTTGGCACGGTGGCTCACACCTATAATACTAGCACTTGAGAGGCAGAGGCACAAGGGTTGCTGTGAGTTCAAGGCCAGCCTGGGTTTTGTAACACTATCCTGTATCATGAAAGAAAGAAGGTGGGGCCGGGCTGCGGTGGCGCACGCCTTTAATCCCAGTACTTGGGAAGCAGAGGCAGGGGGATCTCTGTGAGTTCAAGGCTAGCCTGGTCTACACAGTGAGATCCAGGACAGGTACCAAAACTATACAGAGAAACCCTGTCTCAAAAAAGAAAGGAAGGAAGGAAGGAAGGAAGGAAGGAAGGAAGGAAGGAAGGAAGGAAGAAAGAGAGAGAGAGAGAGAGAAAGGAGGTGGAGATATGGCTTAATGGTGAAGAGTGTATAGTGTTCTTCTGGACAATCAAAAAAGTATGGTTCCCAGCCACAATGGCCTGTAACACCGATTCCAGGCATCCATCACCCTCTTCTGACCTCCATAGGCAACTGCATGCACATGCATATACCTACCATATACACATAATTAAAAATAAAATAAATTTTTGAAAAAAGTTTACAATGTTGTTTATCTCTTTAATTCTTTTTTTCTTAATACTTATATGCATACAGTGTTCTATCTGTATATTTGCCTGCCTGACAGAAGAGGGCATCAGATCCCATTGTAAATGGTTGTGAGTCACCATGTGGACGCTGGGAATTGAACTCAGGACTCTCAAAAAGCAGTCAGTGCTTTTAACTGCTGAGTCATCTCTCCAGCCCCAATAAATATTTTTTTTAAAAGATAACTGTTAATAGATACAGGGTTTTTGTTGGGTGGGGGATAATAAGAGTGTCTAGGACAAAAATAATGACGGTTGATGTGATTATTTGACTGAGAGTAGCCCCATAGGTTCATATGTTTGAATGCGTGGTCCCTAGTTGTGGGCCTGTTTGAGAAGGATTAGGTATGACCTTCTTGGAGGAGGTGTGTCACTGGAGGTGGGCTTTGTTATAGCCCCCACCATTCCCGGTTAGCTCTCTCTGCCGAGTGGGAGAATGAATGAATCCTTAAGGCCTTCAGGGTGGGTGGAGTCTACTATTAAAGTGTTTGGGAAAACATTACTGAAAATAACGGGAATCGGAGACTTACTGAAATCGCCCCACTCACACTGTAAACTCTCACCTTTCCCATACAGGAGAAGTTGATTTTCAGGTAGTAAGGAAAGCCCATATATTTCTGTAAGGAAAGGTGGGCGAAATATCCAGTCAAGAGGTGTACTGACTCAGGATCCCTCTGATATTTACTGACCGAAGATCCCTTTGATACTCTTGACTCCAGTTCCCTCACCTCCCGCGGGTCGATTGGCGAGTCTACCAACTTTTGGAACACCTCCGTCACTGTATCCATGGGTTCTTGATCCATAAATCGATCCTTAGAGAGGAGCGCGCCTACTCTCTCGAACTTGTTCAGGACAACAAGCCAGCGGCAGCTTTGGAAATGTTTTTCCGCCCACGACTTCCACGACAGCAGTAGCACTAGCAGCAGTAGCCAGAACGCCCATAGATTTGGTTTTCTTGGCCACACGCATAGATTTGGTTTTCTTGGCCACACAGGGCTGACAGGGCACATGGCTGTCGAGCACACCATGCAGCTAGAACCTGGGGAATGTGGGGGTCAGTACTCACTTGTCAGTCTGCTCGCTGGGGCTGATCTCTGGGAAACCGCTCAGTTCTTGCCTTTCTTCCCGCCCCTCTTCCTGGCTCCACTTTTGATCAGGCTTCGAGCGCCCGCCCTGTTCCCGCCTCTACTCACCCTAGCCCTGTTCTTACTCCTGGCCACGCCCTTACTCTTACTCTCGACCTCGCCCCTACTAATACTCCTGGTCCTGCCGGTTCTCTTACTCTCAGCCCCTCCCCTACTAAGACTCCTCGCCACGCCCCTGCTCTTGCTCTCGGCCCCGCCCCTACTCTTACTTCTGGCCTCGCGGCTCTTTTCAGCCCGCTTGCCAGTCGCTCTCTCTCTCCTTGCCCTACCCTTGCTCTTCTCTATGCCGCCGCTTAGAACTCCGACTCTACTCTTCGCCAAGTCTCTCTTTTTGTTTCTTGCCTTGCCCTTCTTTTCCCCACCCTTACGCCCCTCGGCGACCACCGACTTGTTCCTGGACTTGGCTCCGCCCTCACAGGCTGTCCCGCCCTCACACCGCTCCTCGCCACGCCCCTTTCTCTTCTCCCCTGCCCTGCTCAGGAGCCGGCTTCTAGCCTTGGTCTTGTCAGTCTGTGAGTCCTTGCCCACACCTCCGTCCACGCTACGGCCCCTGCCCTGACTCCGGCGCCGAGTCTGGCCGGAGATCGGCTTTTCGCGGGACTTTCCCTCCTGGCTACGCCCCTTGCTGCGGCTCTGGCGCCGAGTCTTGCCGGAGATTGGTTCTCCGCTGGACTTGCTCTCCTGGCTACGGCCCCTGCCCTGACTCCGGCGCCGAGTCTGGCTGGAGATCGGCTTTTCGCGGGACTTTCCCTCCTGGCTACGCCCCTTGCTGCGGCTCTGGCGCCGAGTCTTGCCCGAGATTGGTTCTCCGCTGGACTTGCTCTCCTGGCTACGCCCCTTGCTGC